GAAAATGTAAGTTTTTGAGCTTTTTACTAATGTAATACGCCCAAGCAGCGAACTGGTTGTTTCACCGGTTAAATCCCACCACTGCATATGTGGATATGACTCAGAACAGACACAAAGATACGGATATTTCCACAATGCTAGGAAATATCACTAAGCCACTTTTCAGTAAATGTGTTCAAACTGGACTCTAAAACCCACAACTATGGCCCCTCCAAAAAATAAGCACATTTGTAATTTGTAATGTCTCGCAAGATCATTCACTATATGACAGAAGAAAATCCATACAAATTGTATTTTATTAATTTAATCTAAGGTTACAGGTAAATGTAATACAATATTTTAGCTTTTGCAAACCCCTTGTCACTTTCACAGGAGGAAAGAATGTACAGTAAGTAGTAAGCCTTCTCACCACTGTGGCTCCTTTGGTGAAAAGGAAACACTCGCTCCGAAACTCTTGTCATGCTATATATATTTACATGGATTTTGGAAGAAAAGATTCCGTGGCATAAAAGACACTTTTGAATGATACTTTCTTGTTCCTATTGCCCGTCTTGTATCCCTATTTTACGCAGTAGAAACAAGTCGTGAGTTCAGTTATTTTCATGTCCAAGGAGGAGTAACTGTTTTGCAATTTGAAACACGCTCAGGCGTATGTCTCCTACTCATCCCTGGAGTGCTTATCCTAACCATATTTCTGGCCCGAGTTTCCAAAAGTCCATTTCCTTTGCTAATACTTCAGCATGTCTTACGGCAGCACACTTTTAAGTTTTCTCTTCACTCTTATTTTGGAGCCAATTTGAGAGAAGGTGGGGAGAGAAAACTGCAGTTAGGGCACAGAGCCTTTTAGCTACATCTTCTAACTCAGCAACACTTATAACCCCATTCTCCTTAAAATTTTTGTTTCTTGCAGTATATAATGCGGAGCAGGGTGGAAAGGTGGATTGGGACAAGATTAACTCAAAAAGGAAAATGGATACTATAATAGGGGATTCAGGACCAATTGCATTTTTACCTGCAACTCTGTTCTAGTGGATATCTTCATCAGAGGGATGAATTAATCTTGAAATGATTAATCTCTTAATTTCCACTGGTTAATCTTCACTGGTTCTCATTTTTGGCCTAGAATCTCCTACTTAGCTAAAACCGTAAGGGTTGAGCCTTCACCTTGTCTTATTTGGATCATATCAAAGTAGGGCTAGCTTTTATGAGGATTATTATCCAAGAAGACTCTTGCACGAGTTTTAGATTGCTATTCCTTTTGAGGCTCCTGCCACACTGAATTGACAAGGCTACTCCTGTGTGGATCCATTTATGTAAAGCTCCTTCAGGACTCCATGTATTGATACTTTTTTTTTCCAGAGGTGGGGTTCACTTACCTTCCCTAGTGGTTCACAAATGTGCTCGTACGCACCTCCTCTGAACATGCGTACAAATAATTTAGCTTTACATTTTGCCCAATATATTTCTTCCTTATTTTCCCTTGCTGGACAGGAAGGTTTTGCACTGAAGGATCAATGGAAGATGAACTCTCCCAATTCCAATTATTTGACTGCTTTCTCTCCTAATTTTCTTTTTCCGTTTTTACTGTACGTTTCTTTATTCTGTCTTCATGCTGGATAACTTGAAATGGCTCTTCAGAATTGTTATTCGCCTGCCCATTATAGCCTCCAAAAAAAGAGAAACAAAAATGATAACAAGGTTAGGGGAAAAGATCAAAGTGTAGAAAATCAAGTGAATTTCCTTCTTGATTTATGTGAAATTGCAATATAAAGGGAATCCTAGAGTTACAAATAGAATGGAGCCTGCCGTTCACATTTGTACCACAAGGATTTAAGTGGATCCCATTAAATGAACCAGTCCCAATATCTACCCCACACCCCATGCATTCATAAAGTGCCTTCTGTCAGGGTTCCAAGTAACATCAACAGAATCAACACTCTGAGACAGTCATCTTCCTCAAAGTACAAATTTATTAGAGATGTCATCTTGGCACATCTGGAGGAAACCTGAATCTGAAACTAGGGCCCCTTATACAGGTGCTCATGCAGCACCCATTGATTAGATGCATGAAGATGGCAGGGGCTTCCTGGAGTCTGAACAGCATGACTTTGAACTGGAAGCTGCCTAACGGGCAGTTGAAAGCTGTCTCCCATTCATCCCCTTCCCTGATTTGTACCTGGTAATATGCTTCCCTCAGGTCTAGTTTTGTGAACATTTTGCACTTTGATAGGTGACTTAGCATGTCTTTCATTAGGTGGAAAAGGTAGGTATTCTGCATGCACATGGCATTAATTCCATGGAAATCCACACACCCTCATTCCCCCCATCCTTCTTTTCTTTGAACAGCACTAGGGCTGCCACTTTAGATTTGGCAGGCTGGATGAAACCCCTTGCCAAATTGGTGTTGATGTACTTCCTCAGTTTGTCCATCTTTCTAGGGATCATGGAATACATCGGGTTTTGGCAGCTTAGCTCCTGGCACTAATTCTATTGCACAGTCGGTGGAGAAGTGTGGGGGGAGAAATGTTACATTCATGCTCGCTGAATGCATCTGCCAGATCCCTGTACTCTTTGGGCACCTGGGGAAAGCCAGGTAGGCCATCCGTGGTAGCTGCTACCCCCTCTCCCCGATCAGGGCTGATTGGGGGCTGAAGTGGTTGAGCTTCTCCCTGAGGGGACGGTGGTAGTGGACCAATGCTTATTTTTAGCTTTCAATAGCCATCTTCCCACATGATGGCTGGACCCCATTTGTCCAGCCAAGCAAGGCCTAAGATGAGCAACTCTCATCTTTGGGGCTACCACAAAGCATGTAAGTTTCCAATGGTGTCCCATTTCCAGTCTCACAAATTCTGTGACTACAATGGCTGGGGCTCCGATTATTAATGTCCCATCAACTTGCTTGAAGCGTATGGTGCACCCCAGGGGTTTAGTGCCTATCCCTAGCTTCTGGACAGTGGGGAGGCTAATTAGGCGCTAGTACATTCAGTGTCTATGAGGGCTTCTATGTCCACCTGGGCTCCTGTTCTAGGTAACCACTATTCAGAACTTTATGGCAAAAGGGGCAGATGGCCTTATTTACCATCGGATCCACTTCGCTGGCCTCGCTGGTGATGCCTAGAGAGGGTTCTGGAGCTGGAGCTTCTCCCCACTTTGAAGGTGGGGTAGGAACCTCAATAGCTTGCCAAGTGAGTTTTCCTTTGTCCAGCAGCTTCCATGGAGTTTTGTTCATTTTAGAACTTGCCGGAGTCCAGATCTAAGGGACAGGGGACCTTGCCAGGCATTCAGACGCTTGGTGGCCTTGCTGGTCACACCTGAAGCACTTGATCTTGGTTGCAGGGATCAGCTTCGGCTCTCTGACCTGCTTTACACTGGTTCAATGTCCCAGGGTTCGCTTGGGGTTCATTTCCTGAAGGGGATTTCCAGTGTGGTGGATTTCGAGTTCCATAGCCACTGAAATGAAATACCATTCCTGAATGTTATTAGGGAACCCTCTGAAAGCATAAGCTTGTCTGAAGTCCTGATCTAGGGCCTCTTTGAAATGCTGAGCAAAGAGGCATTCTGGCCAGTCTTAGTTTTCCCGCCACTCTCTGGAATTATCAGACCAACTCCTTCACAGGCCTATCCCTTTGCTTCAGGTCCTTGATCTTGGCTTCTGCTTCTTCTCTCTGGGAAGTATCCTTAAATCGGTCCTTAGCAGCTGCACAAATTCATTGGCACTCTCTAGTTCTGGAGCCCCTTTGTCATGTAATTGGGCCAGCCATTCAGCTGCTTCTCCTTCCATCATATTGTCTGCTAATGCTGAAATTATTTCTGATCTGATTGGTACTGAGCCTCATAGCTGGAGAAATGGGACCAGTTCAGAAAATATGCCAGCTTCCCCAGGGTTCAGTTGAAATAGCTCTAAACCATAGCTCTGAACCTAAAGTAGCTCTGAAATTTCTAGAATATCTTCATCATGGTGTTGGGTCACCCATTCAGCTACGTTCCCTTTCAAGTTTGTTGTCATAGCCCAGACCATGGCTTAGTCGCTGGGATAGTCTGCAGCATGATTATCTATGTTGGCCCATGCCTGCTTCAGGAAGAATGCAAGCTTGTTCAGGTCCTTCATCGGTGGAGGGGCAGATTGGGGAGGGAATGGGGCAGTGGTGAAGCCCAAGATAGATTCCATTGCCCCAGGACCCAGCTGGCCCCGGGAGAATATGCCCATGGTGGGGATCCTTGCTACCCTAGTAGGTGGTGTGGGTGGCCAAGTGGGCTCACCAACCGATGATGGGGCAGCGGGATTTGCTGTGGATCCTGGCAAGACTTCCACCAGCACTGGGGGAGGACTAGCCAACTGAGTCACTGCAGCTGGAATTGGACTGCAGCATGGTGGAAATGTCGAAATAGGCTGGTTCAGGATCACTCTGGGCGCCTCAGATCTGCACAGTTATCCTATGCCCTTGATGCTCATCTGGTTCAACTTCTCCAGCAGGTTCTTCTTGTGACACACCAGTGGTCAGTGGAGCTGTCAGCAGAGTCAGACAGTGAGGAGGTTGGGAAGGAACATGGGCCAGTCCTGGAGACTGGGGATCGCTCAGATGAGGGCCCTGCATCAGAGGCAGCGACAGGACCAAAACCGTCCGGCAGTTCTCAGTTGCCTTTGGAGCTACACAGCAGTGAGGCAGAGGAACAGCTGGAGCCTGTTCCCAGTGTGCGCAGAGCTGCCAGAAGAAAAGAACAGCTAAGAAATCAGGTCGATTTGGGAGTAAAGCCACAGGTGGACAGTGAGTTGCCCCTCTCATAGGAAATAAAAGAGAAGTAAAAGGGGAGTGTGCTTTCTCAGGAAACAATTCCTTCGGTCATTAGATTCATTTCAGGAGTGTGAAGATCTGTCTGTGATTCTCAGAAATTCTGTGTCAAGTCTTTCCTTGCACAGCACTGCATTTTGAAAATATTTACATGGCAGCTTTTCAGCTAGATAAGATCTGTTGTCATAAATTCAACTTTGAAAAACTTTATCAGGCATTTGCTGATTGTGAAGGAGAGGAATTCACGTTCATTTAATAAAAGGGCTTTTGTTGGGATCAGGAATCTTTGTGCTTTTGGGGGAAGTCTAAGTCAATCATCTGGCCAGGAAAAGCCATCCAGTATCTCCATTTCCCATATTCGTCTAGGTCGGGTGTTGGCAACCCACGGTTCGAGAGCTGAATGCAGCTCTTTTGTTGATCTGCTGTGGCAGTCGGGTGTTCCCACCACTACCTGGCCCTGCCCCTTGCCCTCTCCTCCCAGTCACTCCTCTCCTGGCCTAAGATGGTAAAGTCAAGGGCGGGGAATGGAGATTTGCTGCATATTCCAGCACAGGAGCAAAGCACCCCTGTACTTGCCTTATCTCTCACGGTTCCACCACAAAACCGTGATGCCCTTATCCGCGCCGACATAAGTGTGGAGGCAAATCCGTGGCGTCCGAAGCGCTA